CACTAGCGGCGGAGTTATGCCGTAACACACATAAAAAAAAATAAAAAAAAAAAATATACCGACGAATTGAATACCTCCTTCTTTTGGGAAGTCGGTCAAAAACAGTTACCGTAGAAGTGAGATTTAGGGCCTGCCTCACCAAATTGTAAATTGCCTGATAACAATCCAACGTGTAAAATATGTGATGGAAATATCGGATTTTATACCTTATCTGACAGTGACGTCATTTTTTAGCTATCTGAGCCTCTATAAGCCAGTGGTGGGACAGGGCCTTAAATTCTTATATTCTCTCTATAACCGACTTCAAATCTCATTTGTCAACTTTTTTATTCCTAAACCGTTTTGTCTATATTTGTAAGTAATCTACTTATTTAATTTAGTAAGGCGGGTTTTTTTTTGACCGACTTCCCAAAAGAAGGAGGTACCCAATTCATCTGTATGTTTTTTTTTTATGTGTGTTACGGCATAACTCCGCCGCTAGTGGACCGATTTTGATAATTCTTTTTTTATCCGAAAGGTAATGCTTGCAGGTGGGTCCCATTTATGGAGTCTAAGACTACGATGTAGTTAAATAGTTTAGTTCAAAAACGCGCGACGAAATTTATGGTCATTTTTGCTTTCTTTGCTTACGTAGCCTAAACTATAAGACTTATTTTAAATCAAAGTTTTAAATTATTCAGTACCCTGTTCGATATATTCTGTACTAAAACACAATACAATTTATCCCCGTTAGCAATTTAACATGAATTTGGCACCACCCTCGCCCGTAGCATTTCGTTTGCCAACGTATTTGTCCTGCGGCAACTTTTCACAAAAATTACTTTACTGCTAGAAAATTTGATTCTCGTTTTTGCGTTGTTTTTTAGAATTTTGCTTTTACATGTGTGGTTTGAAATGTTACACTAATTCCCCATATATTAAAAACATACATTTTTTTATTATAGCCCTATGAAGGGGGCTTAAGGACTCCTGTTTTGGGTTTATTTGGGAGAAAGTTTGTGCTCTGAAATATCTAAAAATATCACGACCAAACATTCGTGTGATCAAAATTTTATTTAACTTAACTTAAGCTATAATAATAATTTCGCATTTCTACAAGAATGTTAGAAGAAATATGTATTTTATCGTATCTTTGTATAAAAATATTATAAAACAGCCAAATAATATTTACACAAACTAAATGATTTGGAAATATTAAATCTATAACATTTTCATCACAATAATTCAATAAATAACAAAATCGAGTGGAAAAATTACATGTTACCTTTTTCGTTTTCAGTTGAAGGCGTTTTCAAGGTCATTGACCTCAGATAGCGACGCAATAACCGGAGCACCAATCGCGGCTATATCGAGTTTTTATATTGATTAGGGTTGTCACCGCTTGGAAAATTGAGTCATTCAGAAATGAAAATTCGTTATCATAACTTATTACCGCTATAACTATTAAATTAATATAAATTATGTTTGCTTTTGACATTATCCATACTAATGTTAAAAAGATACATTTGTATTTTTGTATTTTGTATCTTGAAGTATAGTAAATCAGAAAAACAAAAAAAAAATAATTTAAGTTCTTACTACATACCACTCTTTTTTTGGATAGAATTTCGTTGTCCATTTTTAATTCATAATTTTCACTTTAGTTGTATTGTAAAAGTCAAAAATACACTATAATTTTAGCTTAGTTAAGCTTTCTATATAAACTTTATTAATCTAAAGTTCATGTAGAAAGCTTCCTATATTTATATGACAACCCTATCAGGAAGCTTTCATACCACTACAAAAGCTTCCATTTCAATAGCATGACTGCTCTCTATTGATATTAAATTTTATAAAAGCCTCACAGAATAGACATGTGCGTACAAAACTCGTGACATCGCACATTGCTGGCGTTGGGTTGCGGTTGGGCGACCGCCCAGTGCGCTGGACAGTAAAAGGGGGCTACGAATACAGTCTTACCTTTCGTCCTTCCCAATGCTAGTAAAAAAGGGGGTTCATAGATATCTCGCCCAGGACGCTAGTAGCTCTTATACCGATACTTGTCACATGAAACTTTTTAAGAGAACTTAAAGATAATTTACTACGTGATAATTCTCTTCTTATCCATTACTTTGTATCAATCATTATTTTTTAAATCATAATTTTGATATTTGAATAATAAAGTCCCCATTATATCAGCTCGATCTGAAACATAAAATAGTTTTATTTTTTATAGCTTACAGTCTGCCAACGCCATCTAGTTATTAAATCAGGTACTAAAGCAAATCAACAATCTTTTCAAATAGAAACCCAAATGTAATGGAATATACAGTCCTCAATTTAAGAATATGGAAGAAATTATCATCTTTGTCTTTTCGAAGTACTTTTTAAAATCGCTAAATGTATTAATATCGCTAAATGGGAAAACGTTGCCTCATTTTGTGTTACTTGAATTGCTTTTTTCACTTTGTTTATTTTTCTTTCTTCTTATGAATTCTATTAAAAAGATGTGATATAACTTAATAACATTTAGTTGCATATTTTTTTAAATAATCATTGACCTATTTTAATACCAATAGGAATAAAGGTTATATAAGAACGTATTTAACGTATATATACGAACTATGCTATGGGATCATAATAGAAAAAAGTTTAATAAAGCATTGCATTTTAAGTTTCGTAAAAATTTTAAGTTGAATACATCTATTACTAGATGGCGCTACTTGTACTTGTAAAACGAACATTTTAGTTAATAAACACTACACTACACATAAAATTACATGCATTTGTCTACCCCGTTTAATAATATAATGCAATTATTTCTTTCATGTTTTCAATAACAAGGTCACTTTAGTTTGCAAAACCTTATCAGTCCATCGTTCTTAGAACCTCGTAAACCGGTCAATGGTATTTTGGAGGGTTACTCACTATTAACCCGTTCTATGGGGTTGTTTTTTAACATTACGATGGTCAAAATTTATTGCTTTATTGTATAAAAGAAATATGTTAATTGACCAAAACAATTCTTTGGAAAAACAGTTTATTCTAAACACGGAAAAATTTTAGAAAAACGACTGTAATACATCAAAAACTAATGGATTTTAAAACGTATTTCATCTACCGAAAGGTTCATTATCCCTAAATACAAGAAGGTGTATGTTAGTTTTAAAACCTACCCGTGTAGACAGACTTGACTAGGCGTAATATCTAAATATAGTACATCGTAAGGCCGGCCGCTGGCTAGCCGATGCGTGCGCGGGCAGGCCGTGGTATCGATTCCACCACCTGGCGTCACCACACCCGATCCCACCACTCCCAAGCCTACACTCAGCCCCACGTCTAGTCGGCCATCGCCCCGCGACAACGAACCACTTTTATAAACAGCCTTTTAATCGTAAAAAACAAAAAAACAAAATGCGTTCCATTTTTAAATCTGTGATTATGTGTTGCCTTTAACGTTATTTTTAGGTTACATTTGTGACGTAATATTTCAAGTGTTATACGTTTGGAGTTTAAAATACTCAAAACCTAGTTCTTAATTGATACGATTAGATGATTCAGTATGACCCGCTTCATTAAATGACTTTAAATTTCATAATGGACGTTAACGTTTAACGTAAAACTGTTTAATAGCTATAACTAGTTGTAACGTATAACGTTATAAAGGGTTACTTTTACTGTGACATCAATAGGAGATAGAATTATCAGACATCTATCAGATGTAAATCATTCCACTTATCTAGACCCCTGTGATAGAAAGAGATAGCAAATTATGCATCTCGCTTGGCATACTAACCCGATCGAGCGTAATATAGCAATTTTCTTGTCATTCTGTCAGCTGATTCTATGATAACGGTGTGCCGAGGTGTTTAGTTGTGTGAAAAATGTTACCATCTGCATACACAGCGAATTGAACGGGTTATAAGTGAGTCAGAGTCAGTGCTCGGTCGGCGCAATCGCCGTGCGAACGTAAACGATTGCATTTTTCCCAAAAAACGCATATTCGCAGACAACGACCGCGCTTTCTTAAAACGCGTTCCTTTTTCGAATTTCGAACACTTACCGTAGACTAGTTTTTTTTTTTTTTTACGAATCGATTGTGACATCTAAAAAGTTTTTATTTGTTTGTGAAATGGTGTCGTGAATTGATTTGAAAGTTTCTCTCTTTTCTTTCTTACAATGGAAAGAAGCGTTTTGGCTAACACTGCGCACGTCCACTGGGCTTCTGAAGTGAGTATTACAAACATACATATACAGTGGTTTATATTAATTAATGTACAATAAATATTATCTATTTCAAGAATACCTTCATTTATGTTATAATCTGTAAACAAAAATGTATTATTTTATAAGCAACAGACCGACCACAATATTTCCATCAATGAAAAAAATATTTACATACTTAATAATTAAAAACAAACAGTAAGTTACAAACATTTATGTTTTTTTCGTAGACAATTACATTTACAAAAGTGCATGATCGAAATTATCTATACTATACTATATCTGTATTATAATAAATCGTAAACACACACTTCTTTGTTGCCTAAGATATCAGCAATTAGAGCGTATTTTGTAAATAATTCTTTCTTTTATAAGAAGCCCTACATTTACTTCATGCTTTAGGCTATATATTTTCACGCTATTAAACTTAGTTGGTAAATAAATTGGATAAAAGACCTAATGTGGGAAAGAGACCATAAGTTGCTGCCAACATCAAGGAAGCAAGATTGCCATGGTCATCATGTCCTGTCATTTTGACATTTGCAATTGATAAATTGACAAATGTAAACGACAAAATGAAGTTTTTATTACCTGCGGATGAAGCCGCATGGGAACTGCTAGTCATAAAATATTTAAGCAACATATAAGTAGAGGATTTTAAACTTAACTTTAACAGTTAAGTTAGAGATGTAGACAATCCCCTTAAACTTGTACACCGTATCGATTTCGATGTACGTTGAACTCTGACCTTATTTCATAAGGTATATTTCCACTAGGCGTTGGCGTAAATATTACATTAGGAAACTGGTGCAATTTCCTTACTAAACATTAGTTACATAGTTATATATTTAACAATTAACCTCAAAAATGTAATTAGAATAAAAAAAATTAAGGTGACAACCCTAGATATTTATTCATATAATTTCATAATAGTGACAACCCTAACTGAACTAATGAATCCTGAAGGATGAATGTGAATAGAAAAGTATTTTTAGATCTTGACAACCCTTTTGTTATTGATTTATACAAAAAAACCCGAGGGTGTCACTAGATAACTTGGTTATTAGTGTTATAACTTAACGCTGTCTAATCAACAACACTAATACGTAGTAATAATGTTATTTTCTAGCTGTTGCTCGTGACTTCGCCTCCGTGAAATTAAAAGATAATAAATAGCCTATGTTACTCATTGACAACGTAGCTTTATAATGGTGAAAGAATTTTTGAAATCGGCCCAGTAGTTTTTGAGTTACTACAATACATACAAAAATACAAATCTTTCCTCTTCATAGTTTAGAAAAGTACTCGTCATTTTAATGATTATGCCAACCCTATTTAGTGTTTGTTAAAGGAAAATTGCCACAATTTAGACAGTCGCGGTAAACAAGCCAATTAACCTATCCGAACATATTTAGATACTAGCTGTCGCCCGCGACTCCATCCTCGTGGAACAAAAAACAAAAGTAAGTAGCCTATGTTTTCTTCCAGACTAACCTCTACATCTATACCAAATTTCGTCGAAATCCGTTCAGCTGTTTTGGCTACAAACTCTTAAAACATCCATCCATGTAAACTTTCGCATTTATAATATTAGTATGAATATGATTTTACTCACAGATATATTACCTTTCTAATGTATTTGTGATAACTTTTATTATAGTCTATTTTATTACAAGTAGTGCGAAAATGCCAAAAAAATGACAAAATGGCCGACTGTAATCGTAATTCTTGCGTTTCATTACTTCTGTTGGTTGTATAGTTTCTGTGCAACGTGTTTGTGCAAAAACTGACCGAGCTAGCGACCTCGTAGATCGATTTGCTACACCAAACCTTAATGCATTATATTAAAGTCGTTTTTCGAATGTTTTGAGACAGTTGTGGTCAACATTTTACGACAATCGGCTAAGCATTTTCATTGTACGTGTTAACACTTGATTGTGTTTACTCGGCCAAGGACAATATTCGTGTTTATTGTTTTAACGTCACGAAAACATTTCTCGAAATTGATATTACATTGTGTAGTCTATACATATAATAAAACTAGCTGTTCCCGTGCGGCTTCATCCACATGAGATTGTGAAAATTTTATTTGTCAAATTATCAATAGCAAATGTCAAAATGACATGACATGACAAACGTTGGCAATTTTTTATTCTTGATGTTGGCAGCAACTTATGGTCTCTTTCCGACATTAGGGTTTTTATCCATAATATTTACCCCCTAAGTTTATGGCGTGAAAATATGTAGCCTAGAGCATGACGTAAGTGTAGGGCTTTTTATCAAAAGAAGAAATATTTATAAATATGCGGTAATTGCTGACATCTTAGGCAACAAAGAAGTGTGTGTTTACGCTTTATTATAATAGTATATATTGAATTATCTGTGTGTAATATTGAGATAAAATTGTCAACGTAACGGCATTGCTCTTTACGAAAAACATATATCTACTTTATGTATGTTTTGTGTCTGTATATCCACAAGGCGGTTGTTCCGGGTAATCCCGGAAACCGGGACCGACTATGACGGGATTTTAACAGGAACTTAGCTGACATACTGGAGAATATTACAGACTACTTTATTTTCAATTCCGGGCTGAGTAGGTTGGCGACCGCTAACCTTTTCTTACTAATATTATAAATGCGAAAGTTTAGATGGATGGATGGATAGATGGATGGATGTTTGTTAGAGTTTATTGCCTAAACGGCTGCACGGATTTCGATGAAATTTGGTATAGATTTAGAGGATAGTCTGGAAGAACACATAGGGTACTCACTTTTGTTATTTTTAATTCCACGAGAACGAAGTCGCGGGCGAAAGCTAGTAATATTATAAATGCGAAAGTTTAGATGGATAGATGTTTGTTAGAGTTTGCAGCCTAAACGGCTGAACGGATTTCGATGAAATTTGGTATAGATGTAGAGCATAGTCTGTAAGAACACATAGGTTACTTACTTTTTATTAACACCACGCGGACGGAGTCGCACGCGAAAGCTATGCAAATAATCTCTCTTATAATAAAAGAAAGTCGTTTTATATTAGAAAGTTTAATAACACAGGAAGTATTTTTTCGCAATCTTAAGACAATCAGTTTCTTAACTATCATACGTAATCCATGACGAATTAGAATCCATTAAATGGATATAGTATAGATTCCATACAATGGATTCTACGACATCCGTCTGTATCCGAATACAGATGGATTGTGACTGGCTGAAAATAATTTTTGCTTAACTTTTTTTTAGCAAAGACTTTTTTATTCTGCCAGTCATTACAATAGGAGTTCTTTGTTTTTTTTTTTAATAATCTGCCATAAAATATAATAACAACATTGTTGCCTAATATACAATATGAAAACACCTGAGGACGCTTCAATCGTCTTTTATATTAACTACATCAATTTTAACACGCAAAGACAATTAAAAAATGTTCCGCAAAATGTGGGAATTTATATTTCTGGTAATATTACTCGTGTATAATAGTGATGGTCTTTCTTAAAAAAAGACTAGATCTATCAAACTTGGAAAAAAAGCAGAAAAAATCGAGTATGAGCTAGTGGAAATTTGTTTTAACAACTTTTCCTACAATTCTGTTTCGATCCATCAAACACGTATCTGTCTACTTAATATAGCAACGCAAGCGTGAAGATAAGACAGATAATTACTAACGCGAACAATCAAGCAAAAAGATAGCTACGGTTTTAGTGGCTTTCTAGTCTAGACAATTTTCTCGGACTTTTATTCCATGATACACGACATTATATTAACTAGCTGTCACCCGCGACTGCACCTGCGCGGAATTAAAAAAAAATAGCCTATGTGTTCTACAAGACTATTATCCATATCTAAGCAAAATTCCATCAAGATCTGATTAGGAGTTTAGGCTACAAACTCTAAGAAACATCCATCTATCCATCCACCTAAACTATTACTTACTGCGTTGGCGCAGCGACCCAAAGTGGGTCTTGACCTAAACTAAACTATTGCATTAACAAATTTTCAAAAGCTATGTTAAGTATCTAGTCATTACTATATATAATAAAGTATAGTTTACAATATTAATATAACTTTTTTTCCCCGTGGAATTAAAATAAAAAAGTATCAAGCCTGTGTTCTTCCAGACTGTACAAATTTACCAAGTTTCATTGACATTCCTTCAGCCGTTTTTGCTACAAACTCTAACAAACATCCATCCATCTAAACTTTCGCATTTATAACATTAGTAAGATAATGACTTTGATTTTATTAAATAAATTTTATATCGATATTTTAAGGTAAATCCCTACCTACCACGTTTCCCACACGTTTGTTTCGTTAGGGATGTGAAACGTCTGGGAAAAATCCGATCTCTCCCACGTTCTGTGATCGTTACAACACAATACTTGTACTGTCACCGACAGATTGGGAACTACGAATGTTTAAAATTTTACTGTAAAATATAAACATTAATTTGTATATTCATTATTAAATATGTTATATGTAATTAAGTAATGGATTTAATTCATATTTTTAAATTAAAAGACAGACTTGGTTGTCTAGTACATTAGTATTACAATAAAAATATTTAAAAGATAAATAAATATTGATAAAATTAAATTTTGTTAGAATTCCTTAAGTTGTCGATTTGACCTTTTATTTTCGGTTAGTAATATTAGAAACTGACTATATTTGTAATGTTAAAGTAACATAATATACACACAAGTATCTCATTAGAAATATGTGTACATACAATATGTAGGTCCTTTTGTATGTTGAAACAAAACATGAAACATGATACACATAACGGCATGAAAGCCTTTTATGGCCACCCATTTACACAACATTTATTATTCACTGTACCTACTAAAGTACACTGTACCTACTAAAGTACACTGTACTAATAAAGTACGAAAACAAATGAACGTTATAATGATAGCGAAAGGTATAAGACGCGTTCAATCTATACTATTATAATAAAGCGTAAACACACACTTCTTTGTTGCCTAAGATCTCAGCAATTACAGCATATTT